ATACTCGGAGGAATGGATTTCCAAGTAAATACATTGATCATGATTTTTTCAGAATGTTTAGATTGTCTCGTGACAAATTCTCCAAATTGATAAATACTGCTGGCAATATTAAGGAAACGTTCTAAATGGCGAAAGTTTGTTTGTTTACTATTTAAATCAAGACCACAATCAAGACCGGAATTAGGACCAGCCTCTCGAGCTGGTCGCTGCTGTCCTAAATTTTCAAGACCAACAGTCATAATGTCATAAGCTGTTTTCGATTCGCTTTGGTCCGCCTTTCCAAGGCCAATCAAATTAGAACCAACCGTTTTCGATTGCAAACCGGTGACGCGACAGGCATCGCTTGGTCCGTCAATTCGAACCACAGCTGCCGGATTCTACAGCAACGGCCATTGTTGGTAAATTGAATACAGACGGTTTTGTTTTGGTTCACTTTGGTCATAAAATTTCATAAAACGAAAATGCCTTTTCTTTATGTGTATTGATAATCCTGCCCTTATCCTGCCAAACAAACATATGTGTGCCAACCAGGCGCGATTTTTGACAGGTCAATGGACTATGACTGTAGTAAAGTTTTTTTTTTTTTTAAAGATAATTCCCCAAGTCAAAAATTTAGTAACTATGTTGGCAACACAAGCCTTTTCTACATAAAAAATTTGAAAGCTTGACAATTTTACATTGTATTGCCAACAGAATGTCATTTTAACTTTTATCTTTAAAAAAAAAACAGACTTTACGTCTTGATAAAAAAGATAGAAATACACACCGAGTACGTGTATCCGATACCAAGCGGCAAGCTGCCCTAGAAACACAAAAACACTAGAAAAAGGACACCTCGTGTTATCATCAGTTTTGATTAACCATTCTATCAACTTGCGAGTATATACATATATCCCGAATAGAATACACCTACGTTTATGAGTAGGTAAGTACCAGAATTTTCATAAATAAAAATTTTGCTGGCCTATGAAAAATGCCATAGCCAATGCCCCTGCTCGTAGATTCGTTACTTGTTTATTTAACAAAACAGCGGTCATAAGCTAGATGAGAGCATCTTTCAGCTTCAACCTCAAAATCGACAGAAACAATTCTCACAGGTACGTTTTCTACTAATGCCATGGTACCTACGTACCTATCAAAGAAATATAAGAAAAAAAAAATAGAAACAACCAGAACCTTGGGTGAAATGAATACCTATATCAATGAAGTTATCCATGAAATTACCCTCTATGTGGCGGCCAAGAAAATTTGCACACAGCAACTTTTAGATTAAAGGAAAAAACTCGCAGACACACATCAGATTCGAGGAGTATAAATGAACGAATTCATGGAGAAGTGATAAAGGACATTCGAAGGCAAATACCAGAGTAAAATAATCAAAAACGCCATAGAAAAGTATGCAAATCTAAGCGTTTAAGATCAAAACTATCCTCATCATGGAAATACAAGTACACCTGTGTCTACACCTCTATTAAACATGATCCAGGGGTTATAAACAATGAAATAGTAAGAAGGTTTGGAATGGCCCTCGCCTATCTACTCAATACGTATATTTGCGGCCAGCATTAGGAGAGATTTGTGAGATTTTCCGGATTTTCCTACCCTTACTAGCGTTATCTCATTCTGGAATAATTTGAATGACGCAAAGCCCATTCCAAACCTTACTACTTCATTGGTTACGAACGAAGCTGAAGCTATCAACGTGGGCTGTGCGAAGATGTTCCAGAAATATCAAAACAAGAAATACAGGCTGCTCTCAAACAAATAAAAATTAGAAAAATCCCAGGAGAAAACAAAGTCACATACGAAATGGTAAAAATGGGAGAATTTATTAAAAAATTTCTTTGAACTCTTTTAAATTGGGTTTTCCTAGAAGCAATGGACGACGATAGAATAGATTTTCGATGTACAAACCTATTAAAAAAAATATTCGAGAAAGGCTACTTTTAACGTTAAATTCAATAAGAACACGCAAAACCAAAACTGAGATAAAATAGGGAAGTACGTCAGGGCGATACAATATACCCTGACCCTAGAGAATATCCTCAAATCATTACAGGCATAAACAGTAACTGGTCCTACTTGAACCATCTCCGGTTTGCTGACGACATCTTTCTGATAAGTAATAACACACAAGAATTGAGATGTAATATTGTCATGGATTCCGGGTGAATTAATGAAACGTAGGTAAACAACAAATCTCCTAATTTCCTAAGAAAAGTGACTACAACAAAGCTCGTATTTATACTTAATTAGTAACCGGGCGATATTTAGCCGACATTGTACTCGGGATTTATCTAGAAACCCCCGGAGCCCTAGTCGAATAGAATTCCCCGAATTTTTGCGCTGGACATAAACAGCTCGTCTGGATATAGCATCTGCGTTGTTATATGTAGTTTACCAGAGCGTTGTTTGTTCAGAAAATCGTTCATTCGTTCGTTTTCTTTCACCCTTTTGAGTCTTTACTCTACACTGCAGCGTTGTAGGCTTATTGCATCTCATTGTATGGGCTCTACTCCTTCGTCACCTTCCCATTCGTACTTGGAGACTAGATGATTGGAGGTAGTGCGGGCGACCTGTAGTCCCGTACTACTGCGGTCACCCATCCATCCATGTTTGCGGTAAGTAGGGCGGCTTGCGTCCCCTATCAAGAACCAACGTACCGGTTCAGAAAATCGTACCGTTGCAACTTCTGAATCCAAGCCTGACCAGTCACCAGAATGAGAGGGAGGATCTCATTTGTACTCTACAGTCCCGTTTCAAATACATGTCGCCTTTCTTTCGCAGCGATAACATAATATTGAGCCCTCGTTCAACTTAAGTAGGTATTGAAGAATCAGAGTCATAAGACGGAAAGTGAAATCTCAATCGACAATCGTACTTTGGAATCTCGCTAAAAATGTCCTCTTTTTCGTTACGTTGTAGCTGGTTTATCTTGTTCTCAAAACTTCAAAACTATATGCATTTCTTAGGTAAACGTTCCAACTTCCTGAAGAACATTCCTGGATGAACTTCGTAACGAACACTGCTTCACGTACTTCTCCCATTGCATTCTTGAATTTATCATCTTGTACAACCAGAATTTTCTCAAATCCGGTTCGTTCCTCAGAAATTAGGTACCTACGTTTTGGATCCATTCTCGTTGGAATTTAAAAAATTTCCGAAGGCGGTCCTGCTCTTCTCATTTCCGGGCTTTGTTTTCCTTTCTTTTTGATATCTTTGGTATTTCTCTCCTTATCTTTCTTTCTGTCTTCGGTCTTCCTCCTTCTTGCCTATCTTTCCGTCTTCGGTATTCCTCTGCTTGTTTCTTTTTCTGTCTTTGGTCTTCTTCTTATTCTAAAAGTGCTGCAAGTCAGTAATGTTCTTCTTGTTTCTCTTTCTGTCTTCGGTGTTCCTCTTCGTGTCTCTTGTCATCCAAATTTTTCATGAAGTTCAGGTTCAGCAACATTTGATTCGCTTGATTCATTTTGTCTGTTTTTTATCGTGTAATTACCATAGAATATTCTGTTTTTTTCTTGAAACTTGATCTTCAGTTTAAAGTTCTGTCGCGAAGTCAAATTTCTAAAATAGAACACGATCGAATGTTTTGTGGATTTTTCGATTTCGAAACCAATAATAATGGAGTCACTCTTCTTGTATCAGTTGTATTACTAACGGAATCCAAAAAAAAAATCTTCAGAAGTTTCTAGAACTCTAGTCAATAATAAAGTCAATATTATTAGGCCTGTTCGCACAGCAATCACAAACCAGTCAGAGCGAATTTCATTGGTTGGTTGAAAACAATCAGAAACAGTCAGAAAACTAGTTTCAACCAATCAAATTCACTGGTTTGTGATTTCTGTGCAAACAGACTTATTGTATCACGGTTTCCAAATGGAACACTATAGAAGTTTATAGAATTTTTGAGATAATCCTTTTGCGAAGTTGTTTTTCGATTTAAAATCCTGTAATAGAGTCAATTGATGACAGAACTGATTGTTCCCACTAATTTTCTCAAATTGATACACCAATTATTGTTTTGCTCACTTGATCCCACTAATTATCCCACTAGTCGAGTATAGTTATTTTGCCAATTATTTCAGGCGATATATTTTGGAAAAAGTAGAAGAGTTGAAGATTATACCTACAAATATTTAGTTAGAACGTAAAAAATAGAGAAGTTTAGCTAGCAGAGATATGACGGACTTACGGAGAGATAGGATTAACTTATAAACAGCTTCTGGAACATATTAAGGAATAATAGCGTCCGTATATATATATAAAAAAAAGATTCTCACATTTGTATATTGCCAGTGGCGACCTACCATGGACTATAGATACAATGACAAATGGCAGGGAATATAATGGATGAATATGGAATGTTTCATACGTATCGTAAGATTTATCATCAAGCATACCAATAGTTAATACAATGATAAATGGATACCCAACAAAGTCATGCATAAATTGGTTCCAAGTGTAACCGTTTCAACTATGCCACTGTATAGGTAATAATTATTAAACCTCATCCTCTGGATGTTGGGTTAATAAAACCTTCTCAAACATTTTACAGAGATGCGATGGATACATAGGTATTGGTGATAAATCAACAAGGATAACTGCGTGGTTAGAACACCGAGACAATAAGCTTTTGGCGATGGGTATCTACATATTGACGATAAATCATCGAGGATAACCGCGTGTTTGGAACACCGAGACAATGAGCTTTTGTTTTCTTGTTAGGTATTTTTGTTAAAACTAAGCTATACCATTTCGCACGTAAATTTGTATCTGAAGCAAGGACGAATTTCAAAAGAAAAATGTTAATTTTTTAAGGAGGTTTAGAATAGGATTTGAAGCTTACTTTGACTGTAACTACATTTGAAAATATTTCAAAAAATGTCTGTTCAAAATCTCCACCATTTATATCCAAACACAACAATAAACTAAATACGAAATTACAGCCAAATACCTTTTACAATAGAACTTAGTGTTATCTCTCAGTGCTGTTATCATTGTTAATGCGACATGTATTTTACAACTGGAATAAACCAATTTAGCCGACTTTATGTCTAAAAAATGTAGTACTTAATGATGTCTAAAAATGTTTTGTTGCTGAAATCAAGGGAAATAAATATGTAAATAATTAATCGATCATGTTTATCTATATAAAAGGCCAAAAATCCCATAATCTATCAAAAACCATGGTAAGTTACTTTTTGATTATCTTGTTTGATAGCAATCGTCACTTTTTGTGTGAGTGATGCTAGTATTGCGAATTTATCCACGAATATATAATTAAAAAAGCAGTGTTATAAAAAAATTATTATGATATTACGTATAAATGCGCCTTAGAAGTAAATTATGCAAGGTATGTACCCACTAGAACAAGGCATATAATTACCTCAATTATTGTATAATAATTCAACTCATTTGAATTTTCTCATAGTTGCATTATAAATAATATAAGTACGTTTATTTAGCAGTACTCAGGCATTGTTTTAATCAGCTAGATAACCTTATTAATGTGTCCTGAGTAATGTCAGCCCTATTTGCTAACCATACACATAAGGCGTATTTTAGCGCGAGTTTTAACCCAGTAGTATGTTGTATTTACTTGGGATACTACATTTTAGCGATCATGGCTGACATACTATGACGTCACAACATAAAACACAACATAAAACTCGGCTGTAAACATGTAACCATCCTACTAGGGATAGTTACTGGTTGTAGTATGTCAGTGCATCTTTTTCTAATACATGAAAATGAGCATATGGACAAAACAGCTGACTACGATTACAGACACAGTTCTTTCCATTATAAATAGAGGATTGTTTTTCCCCATTTTGCCATGGTTTTCTGTGATTTTATTAGAGGTTTTTTGCACAAAAAAAAAATCTTCACCTGTGCTCAAAAGTGTAATTTATTTTTTTTGGCATGGGGTCCCCATAAAATTCAAAAATACCACAATCTATCGAAAATCTTCACTGGAGATATAATATTGAAACTCGAAAACGCAAAATTTGTAAAATTCAACCATCCCAAATAAACAAAGATCATGGCGTCCTCTTTTAGACCCTTTACCAAATACACTCCACCTGTTATTTGGGTAACTATAACGTCATGAATCGTAGTATGTGTAGTATGAGTATGATGTTCACTGGTCGCTAAAATACGCCTATAATCTGCTTTGCTTAATGGGGTAGTATACAAGTGATTTTTAACTACTGCGTAGTGATATGCTCGACGTATCAAACTATTTAGCGTAATCAGTTGCTTTGTAAAAACCACATTACACTGGAATTTTATTTTTTAAATTTTCTCTTAGCCCCGCCCCTACGTGAAAAGTAAAGTTCGTGACGTAGTTAGTTTTTCCAATCTGGCAACACATCACGGTTTTGAGAACGCACAATAGACCTATCTATTTTACCAGACAAAGAGGTAATAATACGAAAACTTCATTAAATAAAAAAAGACACAAAACGCTCATTGCGCAAGACGAGGCAAAACGTACCAAATTATGTTAGACTTACGTATAGCAATCCGTCCTTCTTATTTGCACAGGATAAAAAGGAAAGGAGAAAAACCGCGTGTTGTGCAACGTATTTGTCAATGAAAATGTCAAACAACTTTTGAATGACACTTGTCAAGTTGAATATCAACTTTAGATTTATTCTTGTCAGACCACGTGCAATGAACAAGGATAAAGAGATGCCCAGCGTGCAAAACGATTACCTCACACCTGTATTAGCTAGCCAATAAAAAGACATTGCCTCGTGTTGCGCGCGCATACCAGGTAAAAATAGATAGGTCTATTTGCACTGACATTGACCGTCAAGAACGAAACGTCAAATCATCAAACAACGTAAACAGTCAGCTGTCGTTTAGAAGCATTGAGCAGCATTGCCAGATGATCAGTGGCTCGAATACTATTTGGTCGCCATTGTGGCGCTTAATTCAAATTACAGTTTGCTTTTCTCTGACTAATTCCATAAACACTATGGTGGAAAATAATTTAATATTCCACTATACCATCACCATTTAGCCTATAGAATAATGTCGAGCAGTTTTTTTACTGATTTTCATACATAGTATACTACCCCATTCGCTTTCCTATACTATAAATATCGCTGCTCGCCTAGAATAGTAAGTCAGTCGAATTATAATTATATTTCTTATTTTAAACCTTTGTAACGCGTAACGCGAAAGTACTTTATTGTAAATTAGTGAATAAATTGTCTCTTAAAAACCCTTTATCGGCTTACGACTGGCGCAGTCGGTAGGATTTTGATTTTTGGGACTGGTTTATGAAATATTCGGAAATCGGACTAACAAGGAACTCGAATCTTGTGTAAGAATCGTATTGAGTGTTTGCGGAGAAGTGTCGGAGTGGCTTTACGAAATCGAAAACCAAAGAACCACCTTCAAGCAATCGGAGTATTGAACCAAAATAGCCAATACTCATGAGGACCAGGATTGATTTGGAAGGATAAACACAGCCTACCAGAAATTCTTGGCCTTATAAATGTTGCTCTGCGAAATAATTTTCATGTAAATGCAATGTGCAATTTGTGATTTCTTTAATGTCTGATATTGATGAATAAACATAAAAATTATGATCTCCAGAAGAACTTACAAGAAATATTATTATCAAACATTGAATAACAGTGCTGCAGATGCTGATACAAGCATTAATAATCAAAATAATTTAACTTCAAATAATATTATTACAAGTAACGATATGGCTCAATTTAAACCTGAGTAATTGAATTGCGTACCACAATTCGATGGTAACTCTAACGATCTGAATAGATATTTGGCAGTATGCCAAAGTTTAATTGATAATTTCTATGATCCAAAATCATCCAAACCATTTTCAAAATATTTACTTGATAAATTGCATCATCGGAAAACTAACTGGAAACACAAAATTGATCCTAGGTATAGAAAATGTCACAACTTGGGATAATTTGAAAAAAACATTGAACAGGCATTTCGCAGATCAGAGGAACGAGGCATGTTTAAAAACCAGAGATCTCGTAATATTAAGACAGCAAAACACCAGAAAAACCCAGTCAGTATTATGACAGGGTTATGCATATATTAAACCTGCTTTGTTTTTATGTAAATAGTCACGAAGTTGACCAAAATGCGAAAAATTTAAAGCGAAAGGAAATCATCGGGAACAACAATTAGGTGTATGCGTCCCAAAGACCTTCCCGAAGCTTCACAGTTTGTCACACAAGAATGTATTCCACAATATTTTCAGAATATAGCTAAAACTCAACAAAAACAACCCTCACAGCATTTCAAACAAAATACGCGACAAAGATATAATCATTCCAACACCTTTAATGCTAATGCAGCAAATAACACGTTCACTCAACAAAAATTTCTATCTCAACATATTCATGTGAGACCAGATTTTAATAAAATCTAACAAAAATTTCCAATTAATTCACAGGTCTTCAAGAATAAAAATCAGACAAATATATTTAAACCAGGACGAAACAAAAATTTTCCGAGACTTACCCCAATGTCTACAACGACAAGACAAACCTATTCTGCTACCAATGCACCACAAACTTCTGGTAATAATGAGCTCTTCCACTAATTTTTGAAATTGGAATATTTGGATAAAGCAACTAAAAACAGAATTTTCTATATTTTTACTTTTGAAAAATTCATAGTCTTTAAAACAGAAAAAAAAAGAAATACCTCCAAATAAAAACCCAGAATTTATTTCTATGACGTCGCATAGCTCTCAATTTGATCGTGTTGCCACTAATTGTCAACATTGAAAATTTGTAATAGATTTAATTCTGAAATGGTGGCAAAATATTATGAAAAGTAGTTGAATTAATTAGTTATGGATTCAAGATTTTAGAACATTTTTTTTGAAATTAGGCTCAAACACAATTTAATACAATTTTTTATGTTTATTTTTTTATTTTATTTTACATTGCACTGCATTTAGTCATATCCGACAACAGCGCATTCGAACCTTCACGTACGTACTTGCTGTGCTCTCACAGAGCGCAGCACAGCCGAGCCGGCCAGCTCCTTGCAACAACATGAGGCAAATGAGAAATATTTATGTGACGTCATCAATCGGCGCGTTTTAAATCATTTTGAATTTCATTCAATTTTTCAAGTGCCTGGAAAAAACTTATTTAACCTTGGCTACGTTCACCAGAACCAAAACGGATTGTAAACATTTTACAAATACCAACAGGATATGTTGGGTAAACTCTTGGTTCTGCTGAACGATTCAACTTTTCAATGATAGAACGTCACCTTCTGAATGACAGGTCACCACACAAAACACAGTGTTGAAAATTATAAACACTCTGAAATTATGCTTATAAAAATGGCGACCGTTTGCAAAACATGTTTGGTTTCAACACAAATTCAACGTAGCGTTCAGCAGAACAATCGCAAACCGTTTACGTATCTGGGTGAACGCGGCCCTTCTAGAACATTTTTTTTTGTATATATGCCTAAAATAGTCCCTCCTTTGGGATTTTATACTTAAATTACGTATTTAAATTTTAGTGAAAGAGCCCATTATCTTCAAGTTACGCAACCACGTAACTTTATTCCAGTAGAGCTATACAGGGTGTCCCACGGTGGATGGCGTATTAGACGTTTATGGAGAACTAAAAAGCGGATCATTTTGAAAATTTGGCAACCGGGGTAAACAGCCATGATCTACACTCTAAAAATATTTTTGTTTATGCGGTGTTGCCGCTTCTACTCTAAACCAGTGGCAACAACGCTATTTTAAATGGAATACCCTGTATGTGATTACATATTTTGATTCTACGTAAAATTCTGAGCAGATTTCATGTGATATACCCTATACCCAAGTTCAACTGTTTTGGAATTATTGACAGTTGAAAATTGACTTTTTGCAACTTTGACAGGCTGTAAAACCTGAACGGTTAATTTAAGATTTTCAACTGTCAATAATTCCAAAACAGTTGAACTTAGGTATAGGGTATATCACATGAAATCTGCTCAGAATTTTACGTAAAATCCAAATATGTAATCAGATACAGGGTGTTCCATTTAAAATAGCGCTGTTGCCACTGGTTTAGGGTAGAAGCGGCAACACCGCATAAACAAAAATATTTTTAAAGTGTAGATTATGGTCGTTTATACCGGTTGCCAAATTTTCAAAATGATCCGCTTTTTAGTTCTC